ATGCATGCACACTAGCCTTTTTATTTGTCCATGGACAGCAAATATGCCACTCAGAAAATCTAGAAGGATTTATATGTGACAACAAATTTGCTCATGAATATCATTGTACTTTCTAAGTTTGTTTTATTTGGCACGCACCCGAATTCGACATATTGCAGAATGTGTTTCAATAAAGACGATAATCACTTGATCGATTAAGGGGAAAATATTTCTCATTTCTGATTTCAAAATTAAAAGGCCTTTCAACAAAGCTTGCAAACAGTATAGGTACCATTTTAACAGTATTTTGAAAAGATACATACATGGTTATCTTTCAGTTTGTTTGGTGGTTATGTTATGGACACTATTGCAAGTGCTGGATTTGGGGTAGATGTTAGTTCGCAATCGCAACCAAAACATCCATTTGTGGAAAACGCCAAAGCGGTATTCAAAACTGGTGTGTTCCACCCGGTGTTTGCTATTGTGTGTAAGTACATATATGGGGGTTGTTAATTCACCTAGGTTTAAAACATCCCTGGAATATTTAGTTTAGTCTTGCACTGTACTTGGAATAAAGCAATTATAGACATCAATAATATCGCAATATTAAAAGAGCTTAACAGTCTCCTATATTGTCTTTTTTTCCAGTTTTCTTCCATTTCTTACTCCACTCTGAACTGTTTAAGATTCCATTATCCGAAAAAAACTATTAGCTATTTTACTGACGTTATTGAGCAGGCTATAAAGTTGAGAGAAAGTGACGAGGATGCTAGCGAGGTAAGTGATATTAAGATCCATTTCAGTGATATTAAATCTGATAAACGAATCAGGTAACGTAGCGGCCTGCCTTGCATAATAGTTCTACATGACCTGTGAATTGCTTTGTCGTATTACTGTACTAATATTATAATGTATTATAATGTAAACTTTTTACAGAGAGTTGACTTCTTACAACTCATGTTAAATGCCCACGATGTTTATGATGAATATGTAAAGAACAAAGAAGATGAAGAGGATGCTGATGATAAAGGCGAGAACGGAGAAGAATACATTAAAGATGACATGTCATCTTCAGTTAATTCGTGTAAGAGATTAAGTAAGGATGAAATAATTGCACAGGTACGTTGAACACAAATTCCTATTCCTATTCCTATTCCATCTTCTTCGTAACTAAAAGAATCAGCACGACGAATCATATTTCTGTCTCAAATGGCGGCCTGAGTGATATTTTGGTAAAACATGGTGATCCAGAAGATGACTTCACGAGAAATGTTTTGTTGGCTCGGGTTTGTTATATATATTATATATCCATTTTTATATCCTGCATCTGCATTCCGGTCCCTTCTCTTCTCTTCCCTAAATACTTTATTTCACCAACCTTACATACTTCTACACTCTTGAACTAGTGTTCTATCTAAAATTCAATGGTGTTTCTAAACTTTCAAATCACTAATTAACCAAGTCATCAGTCATCAGTATGCTCGCCAGTCATGCTACTACCTAATGAATGATCTCATCTTATTACATCAGTCTATTGTCTTCTTGGTTGCTGGATATGGAAGTATCCACGCCGCGATGTCATTGGTGTGCTATAATTTGGCAACCAATCCGGAAACGCAAGAGAAGTTACAGAGAGAAATTGATGAGGTCATGTGTAACTATGACGCTGTTGGATTTGAGGCAGTCAGCAAGATGACATATTTGGATATGGTAATTTCAGAGACATTCAGAATATTTCCCCCTCATCGCAGGTATGTAGTGATATTTATAGTAGCAACCATTTGACAGTTTTTAAAATCATCTATGAAACGTTGGGATTTATGATTTTTCCATATTTCAGAACCAGCCGATTACATTTTGGCTATGTGACATTAATTTGAGAAGCATATTAGTTAATTCTGCGAAATGGGAGTTCTGAAGATTACGTTCATTACAGTTGCATTACTAGGAATATTGCATTACCTGAGTGACGATAACTGTGTTCCTATTATATGTTCTTTTCTTTAACTTGTACTCATAGACTGATTCGCGAATGCAACCAAGACATTAATATTAATGGAATAAATATCCCCAAAGGAATGACTGTGGTCGTCTCTCCTTATGTCATCCATCATGATCCAGACAATTATCCAGATCCAGAGAAGTTCATCCCAGAAAGGTGTGTATAAACAAATTTACAAAAATAGTATATTATTTTCATTTGGTCTTTCAACGTGCTGTACGCGTGAGGGAATGACAAATTATATTTGAGTTGTGATCATGCAATGTTTGTCTGCGTTCAACAACACGCTGTTTCGAGCCACCACTTTCTAAAACTAAAACGTTTTGGAATGCTTATTGTTAGATATAGGCTCGTAATTTGCGTCTACTTATATTTATCCAATTGTGATGTCTGCACAAAACTAGAACGTCATTAAAGCGGGGGAATCGTCACCTACGCATGCGTCAGGTGGCCTAGCGTGTCATTGTTTACAAACAAGCGTCTACCCATGAGCCTTTGCGTTCTTAGCGTGTGTTGTTATCATCGCTTGGAACTCAATTCCCGCGCGTGCGTAGGTGACGACCCTCCTGCTTTTAAATAAACTAGTAATGAAATTATTCTTTCACATACTTCTTCATTATAGATTCACTAAAGAAGAGAAAGAGAAGCGACATCCATATGCCTGGATACCGTTTGGTGCTGGACCTCGTAACTGTATTGGTATGAGATTTGCATTGATTGAAGCAAAGATTGGATTGGTTCGTGTACTGCAGAAGTTCACCTTTGAACCCTGTGCAGAAACGGAGGTACATACCACGTGATAAGGAATATATCTATTTCCCCCACTTAGGCGGTTATATTTTAGCTGGCGTGGTTTGTTCTATGAATTTTTTTTTTATATTTAATTATTGTCAGGAGAGGGTTTCTTTTGATATAAAGCCTAATAGTGAATTGTATTTAGATTTTGGAAGAGGTCAGGATTTGATTGCCATTTTGGTTGTTAAGAAGACGGATATTTTAAATCATTCAAACCTAAAACGTTTATCGTCAACATTTCATAAAATACATAAGTAGGGTTACATTTATTGAAACATGAACCACTCGATTATATGTTTGGGAGAGTTGGTCCAATTGCTATGAAGATATGGCTTTTTGGATGATTCGTCACCATTTTAGGTATAACTAAAATGGTTGTGGACAAATTTCATGACATTTATGTTTACTTTTGCAACGAACATCAATGAATTAGATTTTGTCAGAGGCAATTGAAAATAGTGTTAATGCAGACATAATCATAATTAAAACAAGACAAAACATGGCGCTTGCAGAGAGAAAAGTGCAAAATATAAACACACACAATGAAATAGAATAAAAAAAAATCAAATGGAATGAAAACAAAGTTCAAAATGTAAATACAATGGATTATTTATTTATTTTTCATTTACAGAATCCTCCTGTGTTTGGTAACCAAGTTATGGTGTCTCCACCGAATGGTATTAAACTCAGAGTTAAATCACGAGAATGAAATCATTACTGCTTAGTTTAACGATGATTTGTGTCTTATAACGTATATTATATAATGTTTTTGTCATTCTTTTTAATAGTGTATGCATGTACAATATAGTTACAATTATAAGATGTTTGGATGGATGTAGTTAGCTGAGTTTAAATATCATCACGGTGTTATGATAGCGACTTTACGTTCGCACATTCGGTTCACACGCCGTTGCACTATTGTTTGGAATCAACAACTTGCATGTTTAGGGTAAAGAATAAGGGTATAAACATATATTCCAGGAATTTGATAAATAGATTGTTTACTTATTATATTTAGTAGTGGCAACTTTGCAAGGCTTTAACCGTGAGACATATCCAAGGTAATCACGTGATCGTGCCAACGACGGTGGTGATTGGCTGATCGCATGTTTACCCTGTCACGCCTTGGAGACTTGACTTTTAATATAGTTAAGATAGAGAGTTTGTAACCTTCTGTAAGAGGAGAGAGAGGGGGGAGGGAGAGAAGGAGAGAAATGGGTGAATAAAGCTGGACTTATACTGCACAATATAGTTACAATCATAAGATGCTTGGATGGATGTAGTTAGCTGAGTTTAAATATCATCACGGTGTTATGATAGCGACTTTACGTTCGTACATTCGGTTCACACGCTTGTTTAGAATCAACAACTTGCATGTTTAGGGTAAAGAATAAGGGTATAAACATATATTCCAGGAATTTGATAAATAGATTGTTTACTTATTATATTTAGTAGTGGCAACTTTGCAAGGCTTTAACAGAGAGACACATGCCTTGTAATCACGTGATCGTGCCAACCACTGCAGCGATTGGCTGATCGCATATTTACTCTGCCACGCCTTAGAGACTTGGCTTTTAAAATAAAGAGTTTGTAATCTTTTGTAAGATGGGGAATGAAGGAGAGAATTCGAAATGGGTGAATAAAGCTGAACTATCTGTAATGAACTAATGTGTATTCCTTTGGGTCGAATCTTGTATCTCTACGTGTAAGTGTTATCAGCCAAGCGAGACAAAATTCCCAGATCCATGAACACGAACCCCTGTTCAAAACCCCGAGTGTCACTAGATGTAAATCTGATTCAGTACATATTTCACATTTGGTTACATGGGTCTTATACCGCCAATCAGCAGTCGTATCTGTCGTTATCGTGCTGGCATAATGACGTGTTTCATAGTATATTTTATAGTATATAGGCTATATCTGAAAAAAAGATGAAATTGATACATCAGTACCTTTAAGGTGTCAATTGAGCAGGGGGTAGTAATAGCTTAAACGACTAATAAATAATGTAAATGGTCTATAATGTAAGAAATATTCGCAGTATCATATATCTGTAAGTTTTATGGTCAGAACAATTGATACGAATAAAAGTCTCCATCACTCTGGTACGGGAAAATCGTGTATTCAAATGGGCCAGCTGATCACTGACAACAACATCCGAAAATGTCTAAATAAATCTATGATAATTTTGGTTGGTTTTGGTTTGGTAAGAGTATGCTTAACATTGGAATACAAACCTCATCAACAAACGTAAATACCTGATGATACATGATGATACATCCGATCCTCAAAATTACATCTGACTAACATCGGTACAGGAAGACAATGAGATCTGTCCCTGTACCCAGGTTGCATAAGCGCCGATGAAGTCTCGGTGGACTGGACCAGTTCAGTCACTAAAAGTTGTACTGATCACACCTCTGTACTCACCATCGATGTCAGCACCCCAGTGCGAACACGCTGTACCACCGTCAGTGTCTCTGAGGTAGCGACCGCCGCCTCTGTCACCTCAGAGATGGACGGCTGCAAATAAATGCCAGAAATGCTTGATATTTGATGATTTTTTAGCACAAAATTGGCCGTCATTTGGTCATTTTGAATCAGGGTGTGCACAAATTGTGCATATGAATAATATTATTGACTGGCTCTTTAGAGGCGTAATAATGCCTTGCAAAATGGGCATTTGTCGTCTAATTTACAACCCGTTCTTTACTCGATATTTAGGGCATTTCACAGTTTTTATCGCCTGAATTCATTCTTAGACCTCGAATTTAATGTACGGAGTGACAAAGGTCAGACGTCCTCTCCCTTATAACCCATAAATAAAATAACTGATCACACAAATCATATCCTATTTACACTTTATATGGCCCAGAAATGTCAATGACTGCTTCATGCAAGTTTCAATTTATGTGCCGTACTTAAGTTCCAGAAATTAATCTCATTTATTTTAATTTAATTTAATTTAAAAATATAAGAAAGTGTTCATTTAATTATATTCAAGAGAACAGATACATCCGAGTATTTGCTGTTTGTTACCATTTCGAATACATGCATTAAAAAATATATATTATTTACACAGCAAACTATTTTTCGATATCACAATCTACGAGACCTGGGAAGGAGAGCCACACTCTAGATTTACCCGTAAGTAAGCAAATTTATACGTTCTACTGTTCTATCTAAAGCAGTATATTGATTTTCTTGGGTTTTGTACATTACAATCACAATGTCTGACATCACAGTCTGCTAGAGAGATAAATTTAAGATATTTTTAGATATCATACATGTTCTTTTGTGGTATCACTATTATTAGACATACAGGGTGTAGCCATATTGCTGTCGTATACACGTATCTATTCTATTCATGTTTCTACAGCCGTTGAATAGCCGTCAAAGAATCAAATATATTTAGTTTTTAACTATCTATAATTATATGCACTCAATCTGACCCTTTTATCTAGATTTGTTTGGGATGCAATATTTTTTTAAACAATATTGTAACGTTACGTACTGCATAAATGCATAAACACAAGTACGGTATGATTGTCTGATTTGCAAAATACATCGATGTAATTTCTGGATTTCTTTTCCTGGTTGTTGACTCTTCACGATGTGCCTCACATATAACCTAACTTTACACCTCTTTGTGTATTTGCGTATGTTTGGTATTGCAATATGTTTGTGAATATCTCGTCTTTCGATGATAATTTTGAAAATTTTTAATGTCTATCGACCGTGTCCAGGTAATAATTTGTTTTGAATGTCGATCGTCGTTGGTTTTCCCATGCTGAGTTTAAGGTGCGTCAGTGGCGACATCTGTCTTTCAAGCCGAGACAGTACAAACATGGACCAATTCATGATTATCATGTTTAGTAATTTGGGGGTTGGAAACCCGGCATCGCTATTTTATTAAAAACTACATCAACATTTTCTCGCTTCTCTACTCTCGGACCCAAGCAGTCAGCATTTCCCTTTTCACGTAAATATTTCGATAATCATTACTGAAAGGAGCGATCGACCCTATATATAAATGGAACACAGTCCCGCTCCATCAGCATTTTTGGAACACAGTCAATTCACATTACATATGTATGATAAATTAACATAGACTAATTTGCTTTAAAGCTGTTTGTTTCTCTTCCACACGTCCATCCCAATTCCAAAAAATAAAATAAAATATTACATTTCATTCGATAAAATCAGAACAATAACCCAAATAACTACTCACATAACAGAGGACACAGTTCAAGTTCCCTTCGCGAACTATATAAAGTGGCATAAATTTGAAGTGTTGTTCAGCATTTAGATACAACATCAAAAGTTCAATGTAGGATAAACAACTTAATTCCTTTAGTCCCCCCCACTGAAACTCAATTGATAAATATTGATCATGTCGTCAGACTACATTCACCATTAAATACAAATTAATAATCGAACATTAGTATGGCATATCAGTTATTTCTAGGTCCATGCCCTGAAATTGACCTCAATTGACGCAAATATTTTCACCCGGGTCAAATCATTATCTCGTCTTGGATGTTTTGTTTTCATATTCTGTTATTTTTGTCCATGATTGGATAGAAAAAAACGAACTACATATACTCCATGATTTCTTTGAGTTCATTAAAAAGTAAAATCGTTTTTGTGGGATGGAAACCTTTTGAGGTCAAACTACTACCCCCCCCCCCCATCCCACCCCCAAACTAAAGAAAATAAGTTTTTTATCTGACATCGATCGTTTGACGTTGTCCCTTAATGATAGTTAATACTCGTTGTATCCCCCAAATTGTATCATTAAAACCGTCATTTCGACCACTCCTGTGCCAGCAATCAGTGTTGGTGTTTTCAATGAGCGCGCGAGAAGAAAAACAATAGAATGCGGTCGTTTAGGCGATAAACGGTTGATTATAAAGTGATAAGTTAGGCAAGATGAGCACTGTAGTTCAAGTGATGTTAGCATCTTTATAATTTAGTTTTAACTCGTTCCAATATTTATTTACTCACTGTTTACTAAAATATAGAACGTTGTATGTGTTTTCACTTTCATGTTGGTTCTTCTGTTGATTTATCGCAAGCAACAACGTGATTTTTCACTTGGGATTTCCAAAAAAATAACATGAATCGTTATGGAATTAATACGCACAACATCTCACCATGTTTGAACTTTTAAATTGACACTAAACATGGTTCTTTTATAGTAGCACTCGAGTAAACAAGA